ATGGACATTTGAATTGTTACCAGTTTGAGGCTACTGTGAATAAAACTGCTCTTTCCATACCATGCATGTCTTTTGGGGATGCAGTAATTCCCCTCTGTTGTGTGTGTGTGCCCAGAAATGAAGGCACTGGGTCATGGAGTAGGCACGGCCAGCTTTAGCAGGCGCTACTGAGCCATGCAGGAGAGCTGCTGGTGCGCCACATCCTCACTGAGGTCCGGTGTTGTCGGTCCTTGGAGGTGATGTGGCCGCTCTGATGAGATTAGAGAGGTGTATCTCATCTGTATTTCCCTGATAATGAATGCTTTTCAACACTTTCTGTTACATTTATTGACTTTCAGGTATCCTCTTTGTGAAGGGCCTATTTAAGACTTTTGCCAGTTTTTTTTTAACTGGGTTATTTTTTTTAACTGAGTCACAGGAGTTCTGTACATACGAGTATTCTGAAGATCATTACTTTGTTGGTGTTTATTGCAAATATCTTCTCCCAGTCTGTGATTTGCTTTTTTCAATATCTTATGAGTGATTGAAAATTCTTAATTTTAATTAAGTTTTGATATCAGGTAATGTAGCTGAAGCTTTGTTGTTGTTCTTCAAATTTGATTTGACCTTTTGAAGTATCTTGATTTTCCATGTAACTTTTACAATCAACACACACACACATGAATTTTACTTGGGATTGCACTGAAACTGTAGTTCAGTTTAAGAGAAATGAACATTTTAGCACCATGGAGCCTTCTGATCCATAAGGAGAGCCTATCTCTTTATTTAGGTGAGTGGGTCACAGCAGGGTAGATTTTGCCCCCAGAGGACATTTGACAATGTCTGGAGACATTTTGGTTGTCACATCTTTTCGGGGTGGCGACTGCATGCTACTGTCACCTTGCAGGTAGAGGACAGGGGTGCTGCTCAGCAATACAGACGGCAGCCCTCACAGCAAAACTTTACCTGGCTCCAGATTCTAAGAATGCCATTGTTGACAAACCCTGATTTAGGTCTTTCTCTTTTCTTACTAATGTTATGAGTTTTCAGTATAGCAATATTGTACTTTGTTAAGGTTATCCTTAGAAAATTAATACTTTGGTGGTATTGTGAATGATTTTTAAGTTTTATTTTCTAATTATTGTTAACGTGTTTATGTATATGTATATATTTGTTTTTGTTTTATGTATCTTACATGTTTTTATGCCTGCTGTTCTTTTTTAGAAATTATTTTAGTCTCTTTTTTCCCCATACACTTTGTTATTGTTGGTGAAGGAACTAGGATCTTTTTCCTGTAAAACTTCCCACAGCTTGGATTTTGCTGATCAAATCAGCATGGTGGTGGTTAATATGTTATGATCATTGCTTAGTTGATTAATTCATTTGAAGCTGCAAAATGAGATAATCTGATTCTATCATTTGCTTTTCATTTATTATCCCAGCATATTTTTGTAAAGAGAATCCCCCACCTAATAATTGGTTACTCTGAATTCATAGAGAAAAAGCAGGGTAAATGCTTATTCTTTAATTTTTAAATCAGTTTTCAAAGTAATGAGTTGATTCTCTATAGGTAGTCAGTGAGACTTTTTAAAAATTAAAATTATTGTGAGTTTGTGGTTTAAACTTATTTGATATTTCAATTCATTACCGTCATTGATGATAAAATTGTGCCATGTTTGGCTACCTCTTCAAGTGGGAACCTCATCAAGACCATGATATATTTTTTCAACTTCCTTCCTTTCTGCTCTAACGAGATAGTCTAGGCTCCTCCTAAACATCTCTTGCCCCTGACCTGGAATCAGCGATGGTCTCCTTTACTGAATATATGCAGAGAAGCTAAAGGGCAAGGGCAAAGCCCCAGGGCGGCCCTTGTTTCTGGGCTTCTTTAGTAGGCAGAGACAGAAAGTGCGTATTTTCTTAAACGAAAAATACAATGCATTTGCGTCTGTTTTCCAGTGCGTACTCTGAATTATAAGGTACTTAATCAGCTTATACTTTTTCCTGCACACAAAATTCTGGGTCTTAGTGAACACTGATATACCTACCCCTTGCTTTATCACAAATGACAAACCCAGCAACCTTACAGAATAGCAGTCCAATTCGACTGGTAAGAATATGATTACCAAGAACGAATTTTAAAAATATTTGCCATCCTTTGGGATCTGTTTTTAAGAGTATTTTGTAACAGAGATGTGCTGTCAGATTACTGTGTTTCAAGAGTCTCTTGGGATACCATTCTCTGTGTAGTAGTTTTTTTACCAAGTAGATTTGCAATTAGATACATTTAACTCATTTTACTCTCTACTTTTAGGCATTGCTTTATTAAAATTTAATTTGGTATTATTTGTATGTAAAACATTTACATAGTTCGAAAGTCATACCTACAAAACAAAGTATATCGAAAGAAGCTTTTTTCTTGTTGTGTTTTTCCTGTTTCATCCCTCACCTTGTTAGGTATCCATTTAAAACAGCTATGGGTTATCCTACCATTGATTGCATTTTTCAATATCAAGAAATATGTATGTATATTTACATCTTCCCTCCTTCCCAATGAGTGAGGCTTTCACTGTTGGCTATTTCACTTGCCCCCACTTCCTTTTTTGTATATCATCTGAAATCTAGAAAAGTTTGTATTTTGTCTCTAAGTTTACCTTTGTACTCAACCTTTGCATGACACCCTCTCTCTCCTCCTGTTTTGGTCATTGTTTATTCGGTCATTGTACTTGGAGCCATTGTTTAATATGAGTGTATGAAGTGAGCTAGGAGTCTATTCCTTTGTTCCCCTGGGCATCGGTTCTGAGTAATGATCCTGTGCACTCTGGGAACATTATCAAATCTCCAAATAAGTGAGTTTTCTGTAGAAAAAAAATTTGTGTGGGCCAAAATTGATTAAGATAAGGTAAATTCACATAAGACCACTTGAAGTATGTATGTTTAAAAAAAAAACCAAGTAAGTGAAACAAGTGAGTCTTGTTAGAGAAATCTCTTAGAACACCAGGCAGTATACAGCATGTGAGAGGACGCCGGCTTACTGGTCATTTCATTATCGAGTGTCTAATGAACCCAGGTGCTTCAAGGAGGAAAAAAATGTTTCCATTCAGCTGGTTTAACACTTAAATGATAAGATGGTATGTGGGGGGCTGTGTGGAAAAGGTGAAGGGTTAAGAAGTACAAATTGGTAGTTACAAAATAGTCACAGGAATATTAGGGAATATAGTCAATTTTATTGTATTAACTATGTATGGGGCCAGGTGGGTACTTAAAATATTGGGGGACCACTCTGTAAAGTATATGATTGTCTAACCACTACACTGCACATCTGAAACTAACACAGGATAGTATTGAATCTAAAAGGTAATTAAAAAATAAAATAAAATGAGCATTGGGAAATATAAAAATGAAAAAGATGGTATGCTATGCAAAGTACTAAGGGCTAGGTTAGGACACCATGAATAATTAATAGCCATGGCTCTCAGACTCCTAATTTTAGTCAAGAACAAGAAGCACATGTAGCAACACTAGGCTGTAGTTTAAGCTTCTTTCATTTTCTAAATGGCACAATATTAACGTGAGCAAGAAAAGGGACGAGAAGGGGAAAGCCGTGCTCATCAGCACTCGATAGAGATGTGTCTTTTCCTGAAAGGCAGAGTGTGCCATTCACCCCGTCACTGATCCGAGTGTTGAATGCCTGCTGTGTGTAAGGGATGACAATGAGGGATGAGGCAGAAAACAGCGTTCCGGAGGGGACACTGCTGTGGAGGCCCGATTATAGATAGTGGGTGGGGAGCCCGAATGGCGTGTCTGTGCGGAGCTGTGGAACGGGGAGGCCGACAGCTGGTTTGGCGCGGGGTGTGGGGTTGATCAGGACATCCTGTGTGGTGATGTCAGGTGTGCTGTTGTCGGGGGTCGTGTGGCTGCCAGTACTCGTGGGGATTCTGCACAAGTTGACCTGATTTCTCCCTTGCAGCTTTGAATATCCTATCAAGTGGGGGTGAGCAGGCTACTGCTCACTGTAGAATTTGGGTAGGCACCACGTGGATGGAAAAAAATGTAGCAGAAGGTTAACATCCCAAATAACTTGAGCTCCTGATCCCCTTACTCCTACCCATCCCCCACCACACACCACATTCTGAGAGGAAAATGGACATGCGTTCGACTCAGCAATGCTACCTTGAACAGTTTGTCCCAAGGGTATATTTGCCCTTGCTCGCAAAGATATATGTACAGATATTCATTTGAACACAGAGTATATGTGTGTACATATATGTATACACATGTAAATGTACATGTTCTCCCTCCCATCTCCCATACTCAGCCCCCCACTCCCAACATAAACTCACTTTAGACACAAACTAAATTCCCAATAGGGGGTTGACTAAATATATCATTCCTGCCTTTTCAAAAAATATATAATGACCATATGTAATTTATATAATAAAGAATCAGTAAAATTATTTTCCTTTAAGAAGAGTTAAACCTTGCTTTCCCTTTTAGTGCAAACGTATAGAAATTGGGTTGTGAATTTGAAGCAGAAGGTTTATATTCTTTTAACTGAATTGGTAATAGTCTGATTTGGCTTCGCATTTGGCTTATATTTGAAATTGGGTAAATGACTGTGTATTGCAGTGAGGGAATGATGGGCCCTGGGAGGCGTTCTTCGAGTTCTTTGGATAAGTGAACTTGTGTGGGCTGGACAAGTGGTAAAAACCCTTTGAATATGTTTTGCATTTTTAAAGTGAATATTAATCATCTTTATTTGGCCATGTATTTGCAGATGTTGGATTGGCTTACTGAGGCAGTCTCTGCTATAGTTTGACTTTATTGTTTGCCTGGCTGTGAAGAAGCAGAGGCAGACAGACCTATAAATCTTGTGTCTTTAACTTTTTTCTTAGGGTGATGTGATCTACTCGAAGAACTTAACTTCTCTACAGTTATTGGGAAAATATAATGATCTCTATATACCAAATGTCTTTAAAATAAAAAATTACAATAAAAATAATTTTATTTTGTTTCTTTAACAGACATCATAGCCCACTGATGAGTTTTGGAGCCAGCTTTGTCAGTTTTCTGGTGAGTTGGTGCGGGGAGAGGCACTGGCGTGAGGGAAGTGAGTGTATGATGTGTGTCTTTAGGTGGCTCCTGGCCATATAGAGAGACTGCTGTGAAAGATCTTTTAGACTTTAAAACAGGGGTAAAGTTTTTGCCTATTAACCAACATCTATATTTTCTTTTTTTCTAATTTCAAAAATAAAATGCTTAGACCTTGTATTCTATTTTTCCCCAACCAAAATCTATTTTAAATAAAAATGTAGTTGAAAGATCCTTCTAAAAATTAAAACTGCATTAGAGTTAATATAAATTCAGACTTTGAATAATAAAGGTTTGCTCTAAAATTATTGAATAAATATGGGCTGGAAGACACATTAAATTAGCATAGCTAAAGTTTGTCAGTTATTATTGCATTTTCAAATGTAATTTAATATTTAGGAGTTCACGGAATAGGTTGCAGTTAGGTTATAAAGTAAATTGGACAATTTACAATTGGATGCTTTTATTTTTCAGAAACATCACCTAATCTACTTTCAAACATACATTTTTTTAAACCACACAATAGCACACACACACAAAAAAGCATGAGTAGAGACCAACAGATTAAAACAGGAGAGAGAAGTGTTTAGATTCTAGACTTAGAGACACACCAGCAAATGGGTGTGTTGTGTGCAGCCGGCAGTGTCTGACCACCATCACCAGGCCAGCCTCTGGTGGCATAGATTTTCATTTAAGCTATTTATTTTTTATTATTGCCAGGTAACACAACAAAATTTTTACTTTTTTTACTTTTGCAAGTAAACAGAGTTCCCTACCTTAAGGAAATGGTACTGGATGGGTTGGGGATTCTAACCTGATGGAGACACAACCAGAACCTTGGCAGGGTAGAGGAGGCAGGTGGGGCAGAGGCTGTAGCCATGTAGAGATTTGCTGGGGAAGAAGAGTGAGGTGGAGACTTGGGCAAGGGCTGCTGTGGTCCGGTTTGGCTAGTATTGGAAAGTGGGTTAGAGTCACACTGAGGAGGCCTAGAATGCCAGGGTGGAGCTGGCTGAGTGTGATAGGGAGTGGAGAGCTACATACAATTATGTCACTAGGTCCTTCTGAGGACCTGGTGTCCTGGCCCTGCCCCTGTATCTCATATCTCATTCATCTCAGAAACCTCACTTCTACTGGGTGAAAACCGCAGGTTTGCAGCAGAGATGGGATTGTCCCTATCAAGTCTAATGTGGCCTGAGAAAGTCTCTCAGGAACAAGTGCTTGGGAACAATCTGTCAGTGGAATTTTTCCCTGTGGACAGTATGAGTTCCTTATAAGTGTACCCACTGGAACTGTGGTCCCTGATTTTCAAAGAACATCCACTAGCTGATGTTTCAGTGGTGTTTTTGTGCCGTACTTGAGTCAGTGATCCACGTGTGGGTAGAACGTACTTTTCAATGAGACTCTTACAAAAACTGAGTTAAGAGGACCAGTCAGAAATTATACAGGGTTTTCGTTACTGTGTTTATAAGTAGCAAGAAAAAATTGTAGAACAGCAAGTGCAAGGGCATTTAGTACCATGTATTTTTTTCATAATAGAGGTATATTCTCATTTCATACTGAGATTATCGTTTTTTTAATGAATAGGTATGATGAAACATTCTAATTCTTTCACTTGCAACAAATGTAATTTAAATATTCTTTTTTTACAATTTGGAGTTTTGTTGAAATAAATTGGCACAAGTTTTTACGCACTTGCTGATTCATTCGTTCTTTTTCATTTTTTGTTTCTTGGAAGAATGCCATGATGACATTTGAGGAAGAAAAAATGCAGTTGGCATGTGATGACTTAAAAACTACAGAAAAGCTGTGTGAAAGTGAGGAGGCTGGAGTCATTGAAACAATCAAGAATAAAATTAAGAAGAATGTAAGTAACTGTCTTTCGGATATGAACTGTGTACCACTCATTTAGGACATTGCTCATTTATTTGGTCTTGGTATTTAGAATATGACTGAAAGCACTACATGTTTCTTAAAACTTTTGGTTATGTAAAATGTATTTCTTTTTTAAAGTTTTTAAAAAGATTTTATTTATATTTAGAGAAAGGGGAAGAGAGGGAGAAAGAGAGGGAGAGAAACATTAGTGTGTCATTGCCTCTTGTGCATCCTCTACTGGGGACCTGGCCCACAACCTAGGCATGTGCCCTGACTGGGAATGGAACCATTGACTCTTTGGTACACAGGTCGGCACTCAATCTGCTGAGCCATACCAGCCAGGGCTAAAATGTATTTCTTAAAAGAAGAGAAGCCTCCTTCATTCATTAGAGCTATTCAGTGCACGTTCCTTTGGTATCTTAAAATTGTCTTCTTCCATAACAGGCCATGTGGCAAAGGCTTTTGTAATGAGGCTTGCATATATGTAATTCAAATACATTGCATTTTTGCATAATTCGGGAATTTGGGTGTTTACCTACTTTTCTCTAGGCCCCATCAGCCTTTGGTTACATCATAACCCACTTTTTTTCTAACTTACATTTCACCTTCCAGTGCAGAATCCTAGGCTTTGTTTGGCAAGGCACCCACCTACACCTGATACTTCCAGAGTGCCCAGGGTTCTCACATACGTCACATATTTAGCTGATGGACGGGTCTGTAGGTTATAGTTATCAAAAACCATCCATCTGCCCTGGCTGGTGGTGTTCAGTTGGTTGAAGCATCATCCCGTACACCAAAAGGTCACATGTTTGATTCCTGGTCAGGGCACATACCTGGGTAGTGGTTTCAGGGTGTGTATGGGAGGCAGCTAATCCATGTTTCTCTCTTGCATTGATGTTTTTCTCTTTTCCTCCCTCCCTCCCTCCCTCCCTCCTTCCCTCCCTCCCTCCCTCTCTCCCTCTCTCCCTCTCTCTCCATTCCTCCCTTCCACTCTTTCCTACCCTCCCTTCCTCTCTCCCTTTGTCCTTCCTTTCTTCCCTCTTCCCTCTCTCCCTTCCTCCCTTTCTCCCTCTGTCCCTCCTTCCCCTGCCTCTCTCTTCAAAATCAGTTAAATATATGTTTAAAAAGAAAACATCTTTTCTTCTTCATGTTAGCCTAGTTACTTCATCTGTGCTTTTGCTTATGGTGTCCACTATGAGGAAGCCACTGATGGGCCAAGAGTATTGTCTCCTTATTGTCCCCTTATGTTCTTTGACTCCTCTCTCTCCAAATTCTACCTCTAACCAATGACCAAGTCCTGTTGACTCTCTTTCTTAAATGCCTTCTAAATTCATCTACTTCTTGCCATTTTCCTGCCATTCCCCAAGGTCAGCCACTATCTACTTGCCTAAGACGACCCTCACTGGAGTTTCTGCTTTAACTCTTACTGTTCTCTAATTTGGTCTCCATACTACAGTCTCTAAAATGCAAATAATACGTTGCTGGCTTCCTTTCCAGTATTCCCATCCTCCATCATTGCCATGACAGTGAAGTCCAAGCTCCTTAACGTGGCTGACTTGGCATCACTTCTCTGCCTAGAACATGCTCCTCCCTCTTGACCTGGTTTGGACTCATTCTTCTCCTTGGATGTCATTTTCTCCAAGAACTCTTGCCCGAGCCTGTTGGATGTGTCGTCTTCATGTTCCCATAGTTCCTTGTACTTTATCCTTTGGAGTACTTGCTACATTACATGGTAAAACGGCCAGCATTCCCTCACTAGGCTTAAGCTTATTTACATGTCTATTTTCAATATCTAGTCCCATGCCTAATACATATGTTAATAATTCACATTTGTAATGGATCCTTGCAATTTCAAAAGCATTTGCACCTACAGCATCTCATCAGCCCTCCCAACAACACTGTAGAGTAGATGTTATTAAAAGCAAAGAAACAGAAGAACCAATAGATAGACTTTTGCCTAAGCAAAGTAGTGAGCGCTGGGACTAGACCAGGAGCAAGCGTGGCCGTGGTGAATTGTGCTGGTCCAGCAAAAAGGGAACCGGCCCTTCTGTCATGTGCACTGTGTGTGCTGTGGTCAGATCTGCAAAAATCCTGTCACCACTTCTGTCATTGTGGAAGCATTTGAAAGCTATTTCACTTATTTTGTTCAAGTTTACTTTGTACCGGGAATACAGTATTCTACTTCACAGTGATTTTTTCTTCATTTAGAAACATTCTTTACAATAAAGACCAACATCTTATAAAAGTTAGAGCTTTTTTGTTTTTCTTTTTGCTTATTTTATTGGTTTTTGATGGCCTGAAATTATTATTTGAAGTCCTGAGCACAAATTTCCTAATATAGTTAAATGACTTACAATTTAGCAAGCGTTAGCAAAGGATATGAACTATTATTTTATAGAGATAGTCACCTTGAAGTATGACTTAAATTTCAGGTTCAATTTGTGATTCAGTCAAAGCTCATTTTTAATTCCAGGGCATTCACTCCTTAACAAAACGTAACCAGTTTCTGACCCTCCCATCTCAGCTGGGTGTGCCTAAGAAATGACCCCAGTATCAGTCCTGCCTGAAGGTACACGGTTACCGAGTGGCTTTTCAGGCTATCTACTTTGGGGAATTTTTTTTGTACCTTTAGTGATTTTTATTTTGGATAAGTAAGAACTTACATTGTTTTTGAAGAGGTAAAGTCCTGTGTTGGCTTTCCTGTCTCCCTGGCACTCAGTTTTTATCATTTAGAGTATTTGTCTTTGAATTCTAATCTTCAACATTGTATTGGTTAACAAAATTAGGCTAGACCTAATGGCAGTATAGAACTACCAGGCTCATAGTATAAATTTGGTCTTGGCTTTTAGTAACTGCTATATGTTTTAGTGAAGTCATTTTGCACAGTAAAGTAATAGGTGTTTAGAAGGAGTGTTCCTGTGTGTGATTTATCAGTATGTACTTTCTTCCCACTGAACAGGTCGATGTCCGAAAATCCACCCCCTCTATGGTCGATCGACTTCAGAGGCAGATAATCATAGCTGACTGTCAAGTTTACCTGGCTGTGCTCTCGTTTGTAAAACAAGAATTGTCAGGTATCCTGAAGCATTATTTGTAATGTTTCGTTGTGCAGTGCATACAACTGGTAATACTCCTATTTTTTAGAACACCTCGTATTTCAGACTTTGACAGTGTTTGCTACCTCTTTGGGGCCCAATACTGATTTATTACTTGGGAAACTGAAACCACGGTTGCTTAAGGTGCGTTTACAGATTGCTTTTAGAGCCAAAGTCTTTGTTCCTCCTCTTGTCTCAAGAAGTTGTCCTACTTAGATAGATTACCTGTGCTACAGACAGACACACACACACATTTTCTTGGTGGGAATCAAGTTGTGATAATAACCTTTACAGTGAAATGTGACTGGTTTAAATTTAAGTTCTTCAAGAAATTGTCATTGAAGGCCTGAGCACACACTAAAGATTTTCTAATATACTTGAATGACCTACATTTTAACCTTTAGAGAGGGATATAAACTAATTCCTTAATTAGTTCAAGAGAAATGGTTTCCCCAATTTTGTGGCTTGACTATCTTGAGTGGCATAGACTCAAACTGAGTTTCTAATAGCTCACTGTACAGCTGGGCCCAACACTGACGCTAGTTCTTCTGCTTGTGTGGCAATGTGTGTCTCTGATACTGACAGCAGAAATCGGCCTCTGGTACATCAGATTTACTTAGGGAAAAAAGAAAATTAAAAAGGAAATCAATTAGAAATCGCAATCAGAAAAGCATTCTCTTACAAACCTTAAATAAAGAAGCTTATGTTGCTGCTAAATTGTAATACATACTTTTCTTCTTAGACTATCAGAAACTAGTTCTCGGCTCTTAATTCTCTCCTCTCTCTATCCCATACTTGAGGATAGACTTACTAGAATTTTTCCTTCTCTTTAAATATATTTTATGCTTTTAGTTTGGCCTTTTGCTTTCCTTCAGTTCTTTTTAAGTTTTTTAAAAAGGTTTTATTTATTTTTAGATAGAGGGGAAAGGATGGGGAAAGAGAGGGAAGCATCAGTGTGTGGTTGCCTCTAATGCGCCCCCTACTGGGGACCTGGCCTGCAACCCAGGCTCGTGCCCTGACTGGGAATCCAACTGGTGACCCTTTGGTTTGTAGGCTGGTGCTCAATCCCCTGAGCCATACCAGCCAGGGCCAATTATTTTTTCTCTTTAATCATCATCTCAGGATTCTCCCAGTGACTGACTAATTTATATGGTTGAGGGCTCATAGTTCCTCAATTTTCTGTAATGCAATAATGCAAAGCCCCCATTTGGAGCATCATGCTGATGTGTATGTAAAAGCAGTTGAACTACCTGAACCTCTCGGGGGTCAAAGACAGGTGCTTCGGTGTTTCCCGTGATCTGGTACTACTTTTTCTCAATACTTAAGGATATCCTTAAGGAGCCAATTTTAGTCATTAAGAAAGTATCTGTTGAGCCCTGGCTGGTGTGGCTCAGAGGATCAAGTGCTCACCTGCAAACCGAAAAGTCAACAGTTTGATTCCCAGCCAGGGCACATGCCTGGGTTGCAGAGCAGGTCCCCACTTGGGCGCATGTGAGTGGCAACTGATTAATGTATCTCTCACACATCAATGTTTCTCTCTCTTTCTTTCTCCCTCCCTTCCCCTCTCTCTAAAAATAAATAAATAAAATCTTGAGAAAAAAAAGAAAGTATCTGTTGAGAGAAGGGTAATCAAATGTAAAATGAGGAATAAGGGTAAAGGATATCTGGGAATTCATTGTATTAATTTTGAAAGTCTTCTATAAGTCTGAAAGTATGTAAAAATTTAAAAGTGAGTATATCTGTCTTTCATGTGTTTATTAGTGGTCCCTCCAACAGATAATTGTGGAGCACATACAGTGTGCCAGGCACTGTGTTATCTGAGCAAACACAGGCCATGGGCCCTGCCCTCATGAAATTTTGAATCACCAGTTAGTAGTATGTTTTTTTAATTATTCTGATTATAAAATTACTAAACATTGTTGTGGAAAATGAAAACTAAGAAAGCAAGTCATTGCTAATGTCACCATTTGGAGAAAATTAATCTTTATTGCTAATAATCTATTTTATATTTCTGTGTATTTCTTTTCCAAAATTAAATCTGTATCCTACTTTTTCCTCTTAGATTATATTTCACATACTCTCCCTGTACTTAGATTTAAAATGTAATTCTAGATAATAGCATTTTAATTTATCATGAACATTCTACAATTTATTTAAACAATTCCTCTTGGATATTCAGGTGATCTTTATTTTTATTTTTTGGTTATTAATGAAGCTGAAACTATTTTTATATTTTATCTATAATTTATATTTCTTTCACAAATCACCTTGTGAAATGGCCTTTCCTCATTTTCCTAACAGGTTGATGCTAATCAATTATTTAATCTTGTTTATCATAGATAGTTGACAGTGCTCTTGGTTCTTTCTGAAGTCATATAATTTGTTGAAGGTAGTATTAATTATGAAATAAAATTCTGACAGGCATGAATAATAAATGTATGGTGTGATCATTTGCTTTATGAGTAGCTTAGTGTTTGTTTCAAACAAACAAATATAACCGAAAGTGGGCTTTACTTGCCTTTTAGAAACACATTGGGTTATTAAACTGTAAAATATTTACTTACTTTTTTTGGGGTCCATTTCTTAGAAAACGCTTTTGATGGATAGTTTTCCTAAGTTGGGGAACTCCTCCTTGGATATGTTTGTTGTGGGTCCCAGAAGTGAGAGCGGGTCCACATGCTCACCTGAGTTCCAGGTAGATGTGAGTCGGTGTGGATTTTTGTTCATGCTTCATACTTTTAAAAGAGTTCTTGTCCTTTACCTCATTTGAACTTCTTTATAATCAGTTGCTCTATCTCGCTTCATTTTCCCATACTATTTGTATCTTTTAAATTTATTACCCAAGGGCTTTTTATTTTCCAATGAACATACATTGCTTGTATAATAAAAAGAAGTTATTTTTAAAACCTATTTTATGGCACTTGCGCCCTTGTTTTATGTTTCTTTTATTTCCTTTTGGACTTTAGGATAGGCTCCATGACTCACCTTCTTGGCATAACATGTGCTCAACAAATTTTCCCCAGATGAGATTATTTTTCTTATTTTACAGATGAGGCAGTTGAGGAGGCAGTTGAGGCTGCATCATTTGGTTGAGGCTGAACGATTTACACAGCTCGTTATTGATGACAGAATCAGCACCTGAGCCACGGGTTTCTTTTTCATGCCTGAATTGCTAGTGTTTTCACCATTTTCTCATCACCTTAGTTTGATCATCTGAGCCACCCACTGTCTTCACATGGCCCAGAAGGCCTGGCTTTCTCAGGCCTCTCACTCACCACCCGTGCCCACACTCTCCCTGCATCCCAAGGACTTAGCCCCTGGAATATTACAACACCCTGCTGTTGGCTCACACGCTTCTCCAGGCCACATTCTCTATGTGGCCATTGGAACCATCTTTCTTTCTTTTTTTTCTAGTTTATTTTTATTGTATTTTTTTCATTACCATTTATTCCCCCCCCCCGTACCCTCATCTACCTCCACCTCCCTCTTCTATCACCACAGTGTTGCCCATGTCCGTTAATCCTTTTCCCTTTTTGCTCCCTCCTCCTCCTCCTCTATCTTCTTCTCTGTCTTCTCCTTCTTCTCCTTCTGTCTTTTTTTTACACCTGTGTAGTACTCCATTGTGTAAATGTCCCATAGCTGTTTTACCCACATATGTACTGATGGACACTTGGCTGTTTGCAAATCTTGGCGATTGTAAATAATGCTGTAATGAACATAGGGGTGCTTATATTTTTTTGAATTAGTGTTTCAGGTTTCTTTGGATAAATTTCCAGGAGTGGGATTGCTGGGTTATAAAGCAGTTTCATTTTTAATTTTTTGAGATATTTCCATACTGCTTTCCACAGTGGCTGCACCAATCTGCATTCCTACCAACAGTGCATGAGGGTTCCCTTTTCTCCACATCCTTGTCATCACTTGTTATTTGTTGATTTATTGATGATAGCCATTCTGACAGGTGTGAGGTTATATCTACTGTGGTTTTAATTTGCATTTCTCTGCTGATTAGTGACATTGAGCATCTTTTCATACGTCTATTGGCCCTCTGTATGTTCTTTTTGGAGAAGGATCTATTCAGGTCCTTTCCTCATTTTTTAATTGGGTTATTTGTTTTTTTGGTGTTGACTTTTATAAGTTTTTTATAAATGTTGGCTATTAACCCCTTATCAGATATATGTGAATATGTTCTCCCATTCAGTGGGTTGTCTTTTCATTTTGTTGATGGTTTCCTTTGCAATGTAAAAACTTTTCAGTTTGATTATAGTCCCACTTATTTATTTTTTCTTTTGTTTGGAACCAGTTTTCTGAAACTTAATATACTGTGCTTTAAACTCTTAGCTCTTCTGCATCTCCTACAAAAGAAAGTCCAAATTCCATCCTCAGGTGGCATAGAAGAACCTGGCCCACTTCCCAGGCTTCCTGCCTTCCCACCACTGTATCTGGCTAAGCAGAGCTTGCAGTTCCCTGAATGCCCTTTGCTGCCTCATGCCCTTTGGCACACTGCCTTCTCAGCCTGGAGCACCCCTACCCCTTTTCTTTGTCCCTTGCCTATCCAGGTGCAGCCCAGGCCAACTTCCTTCATGGACTCCTTCCTCGTTGACTTCATCATCTGGCCTTAGCCTGCTCTATGTGTACCCTGTACATAGTCAGCCGGAGAATTCATCACACAGCAATAGCAATTATTCTTTACATGTCTGTCTGCAGTATTAGACTACGGACTCCTTGAAGGCAGGGGCTGTGTCTATGCTATCTTTCCCCCAACATTTATTGAGTACTCTCTACCTGTCAGGCACTGTGAGGTGATGGATGCTAATTTTCTAGGGATGAATGAAATGTAGTTCTTGCCCCAAGGAAACTGATGACTTAGCAGGGGAGGAAGAGGAGTAAATCAGTTACAATTCATGGTGATACTTTAACCAGTAGACATAGAAACTAGTCATAGAGGTTGCACAGGGAATGAGCAGTTCCTAATGTCTGCCTGGGAAGGCCAGGGATCACTGATCCTGTCCTTGAGCGGGGTCTGAAGAGTGAAAGTCCATTTTCTTCTCTATGTCCCTGGCACCTGATATGGCAGCTTTGGCTCAGCACATGGTGGGTGTGTAATATGTGAATTCAAGGAAGGGTGATGCCATTCGGGAAAGAGAGGCATGATGTGGAGCCCCAGGAAGCCCCCAAAATAATGGGGATTGGAGAAGTGGATCTACTGGAAGTCTGTTGACTGGGGTAAACATAATAATGATGAGGTAGGCTGACTAGCAATCACTAAATCATCTGCTCTCCCTGCCAAAGTCCGTTGAGTGGGTCACAAGAAAGGCAAGCCTGGACCTACTTGCACTATGGGGTTAGCCAGCCTTGTGCAGGACAGATGAACAGATAACATGCTACAGTAGGAGCTCTTACCAAACACAGCCCCCATGGAAACATCTGTAAATTTTTTTCCAAGATTACATTGGTATAACTTGATATTTTCATTTTCCAGACAACCCTTGCCCTTTCCCAGGAGGGACTTTCCCACACCACCCCCACTTGTTATGGGGACAGGGTTTCCTCTCCCCTCCTTCCACTGGCTGACTGAGGCTGAACCCAGTAGGGGAGGGCAGGCGGTCTTCATTTTCTGCCCTCCTCTCTGTGACTTCCTCCACAGGCACAACAATAGTGACTGAATGATTTATGCTTGACCTTTCAGAGGAGCCATGTGGAAGGCCATGTGGAGTGTGGGGCTCTTAAATACAGTTCCTCTGCTCATGAGGAAGATGTGCGCTCACTGGCCCCACGCTGCTCCACTGAGCTCAGAGTCCCGCCTGCAGAGCCGAGGGCCTGTGTGCCTGCTGTCTGGCTGCTGTCCGCTGGGAGCAAGCCGCCCACTCTGCTGGCTCCTCCACTGGGCTCTGGCTGAGCCAGGGCGATTTAGTCACAGTATTTGGGACTGGGAGTAGGGCGACTCCTGGGGAAACTGCTTCAACAAGTTCAGCGTAGAAAGTAGTGAAAACAAGAATCTCCCTCCATGTGTATTAACTTTGTTTTGCATGTATTTCAGTTTATAATCTTTGACTTAGTCAAAACTTTGTTCATTCATTACTAGCGAACATGTGCTTTTAAACACTGGCACCGAAGCTCCTGTCTTAGGCAAGGAATTAAAGACATGTTGAGTTAGTTTAATTTTTATTCTATAAAAATAGATGTTTACCGTGCTGGGTTTGTTTAATTCCCTGAATTCTGGGTTATCATGGATGGGTTTTTATGTTTGTTTCCGTTGCTGGCATCCTTGTCTGTAACTCTTCCCCCAAGATCTGGATTACTGCAATTCATTTTCCTACCACTGGTTCCTTCAACCCCAAATCTTAGAAATTCCCGGCTTCTCCTTTGCTGGCTGGGCATCAGGTGCCTGTAACCTGAGCACATCACCCTGTGCCCTTTCGTCCCAGTGCCCCCTGTTTTACTCATCCCTCCCTCAGTGCCTTCCTGTGCACATTCCTGTTTCTCGCTCCCGCAGTGCTGCCTTTCCCTGAATGGGCGCTCCACTCCCTGCGCTGGCCTGGAAAATACAGGATAAAAGGAGTTAATTTTTCCCCTCGAAATTTCCAGTAAGGTATGGGGGTAGGAAGGAATAAAGTTTTCTACTAAAATCCTGCAATACTTACTTTGCACTTTCTGATTTATGGGTGTATTTATTACATAGAAAACAATCTCATGACAAAAAAATTTTAAAAACCAATTTACCCATAATCTAGACATTATTTGTTTTCATTTTCTATGTATGACCCAATGTTGCAATAGTAAAGACACATACAGGGGTAGGGAAAAGTAGTTTATAGTTGTACATGAAGTAGTTTATTCTTGTATTACTGTAAACCTACTTTTGCCCAACCTTGTATATAGCCTTAAGTTACCAAGTTTGTTTTTCATTTGTTTTATTTTTAAATTTTACTGTGGACATTTGTAGGACTGAGATTATTTATTTATGTCTTGTAGTTCTTTTATGTTCTTCAGCAGCCAAGAACAATAGCTGATTAATATTTTTAAGGTTTCTCGAGTTTGCTTTTTCTTTAATTATTTATCAGTAGCCAGTGTTTATTGCTCTGCAATTAGACCTCAATTGCTTTTGTGTTCTCAAGAACATGTCTCTTAGTTTGCTCTTTCCTTTTCTGTTTTTCTGTTCAGCATTGGCCTTTTGGATCATAAGTGAGTCATCTTTCGTGTTTGTGGGCACGTTGGTGGCATACAGAGAACAGCCAGGGTGTTCTCACATGTTTCCCACGGCCCTGCTGTTTGGGAGGGGAAAGCCACTCAGCCTCTGGAGAGTAGGGTCCACATCTTCTTTCTGATTTGATGCCTGAAATGTAGTATTTGCACAGGTATTTTTGTTAAATGGAACTGAATGAAAATGAATTGTTTCGAACATGTATTACCTTTATAATTATAAAGTTATAAAGATAGTTTCCTGTAAAAAAAAAAAAGCCTTGATAGACTGATTCTTGTGGTTGTTCCTCCTACCTTACAGCATTCTGTTCAGGGGCCTTAGGCTACAGGACATTAATTATCTACAATTTGTGGGGTGGTTTTGAATTGTGGTCCAATAGGAGATAGGGCCATCATTTGTCAGAAAATTGGCACACTTAAGTAAAGTAATAGCTTGATTCCATGGGTTGGGTGCCCCTCAAGACTTTCAGGTTCAATGATTTGCTTGGAGGACTCAGCCTGTAATGATGCCCATGGCTTTGATTTATTATGGCGAAGGCACCAAAGCAAAACCAGCAGGGAAAAAGGTGAATGGGGTGAAGGCCAGGAAAGACTCTCCAGCAGAGTTGCACAGGCTGTGCTCCAATCCCACGGCAACGTGTGCGGCAGCACAGGTGAAATGCCGCCAGCTGGGGAGGCTTGTTGGAGACTCAGGGCCCAGAGTTCTTGTGGGTTGCTACCATGTAGGCACCCCCTGGCTTGCACATGCTGAGTTCCATACTCCATACTCCCAGAAGGAAGGCAGGTGTTCCACATAGAGCAGCACCAAGTGTCTAAACAATGTAGGCACAGTGAGCCGCTCTCACCAGTTCTGGAACTGGTGGGAACCCTCCCCAGCCCCAGGTCCCGGGTTACCAGCCAAGGGCCAACAATGCAAGCAGGCCTTTCACAGGACAGCAGCAAGCCTGCTGAACTAACTCTTCCACGCATACCACACATTCTCGGGTCACTTTCAACTCAGGGATTGGACCTTTATGAATCAGATTTTATATACAAATGGCTCTTAAAAAAAACTTCTTTTTTTGCTGTTCTAATGGGTCTGGAAGGCTAGGATACTTCATGGTGTCTTCTGTTTATTCACTGGGATCACAGTGTTGGGGCCAGATTGGCAACAGTGCTAAGTGGATGAGTTCCCTTCCGCAATTACGAGAGAACTATTTTATAGAAAGTCCCTTATGGAAGACCTTCTACTCAAAAATGTGTTGATAACACACTCAGATAAGCACAGATAAATCGACTTCCTCTTCAGCTCCTTACCAGAAGGGGAAAATGTGCAAGGAGGAGAGGCTGAGGCAGGACCTGAGGGCTTGTCTGAGAGGGGCCCTTGGAGTGTGGGGTGAGGGAAAGCCCAGTTCTTAGCCCTGAAGTCACCTTTGTGACACATTTTCAGGAGGGCTTTGTAAAGAAAAGTTGCCCAAATGGAAGCAACTTTTAAAAGGACAGATATTCACCCTCTGGTGTAAAGTAGCTTCTTTGCCAGCCTTCTTCACTGGGCCCCTCTAGGCTGAGGCGGGAGGTAAGCACCATTGCCACAGACCAGATAAAGTCATCCTGAGGTTTTGTAAGCCACTCAGCGGCATTAGATTGGGATGAGCTGGGGATCCTTTGCATTTCTGCATTTCACACTAATGGCATTTTCGTTAATAAACTGGCCATTTGTTTTAATAAATAGTAATCCTTTCTGTTGCATGTTTTATTTTCTTGGCAAGTCTCCATGCTTGGTGGTTGGGTATAAATTTAGCAATGAACTAACTGACAACTTGCTCTCAAGGAGGTTTGAAACACACGTTAGAAAATGTAAGAGTTAAACAAAAAAGGCTTATCAGGAACGCACCTTGTAATTCAGAGATGTGGGAGCAGTTTGTGTTTCACAGAACGCTGGAAAAAGTCAGATTCAAGTGATGCTTGTGTGCTCACAGTCATTCACTCATTCTTTCTTCCCCTGTGCATCATATGCTATGCCCTAGCTCACGTGGGAGGGGCTTGGTGCAACAGTGAACAACAACAAAAAAATACTTGGTTCTTGCCAAGGGGCTCATCCAGTGTAGTAAAGGGAAATAGAGAACAAATAAAGAATTTAAGCCCTATGAAGAAAACAAGGTGCAATGATAGATGATAATTTTTTGGGTTCTTTTACTATTTTGCTCAAGTTTCAGGCTGTCCTTCGATATATTTTATGAACATAGGTAAATTATTTCGAATGCTTATTTTTTCATGTTTTTCTCCCCTTCCCTTTGTAGCATATATCAAAGGTGGGTGGATCCTTAGGAAAGCCTGGAAGATTTACAACAAATGCTATCTGGACATCAACGCCCTCCAGGAACTGTATCAGAAGAAGCTTACTGAAGAGCCCTTGACCTCTGATGCTGCAAATGATAATCATATTGTGACTGAAGGGGTGTCCGAGGAGTCTCTAAACAGACTGAAGGGTGCTGTTAGCTTTGGATATGGCCTGTTCCACCTCTGCATATCCATGGTGCCCCCAAACCTGCTCAAAATCATCAACCTGCTGGGTTTTCCTGGAGACCGCCTGCAGGGCCTTTCCTCACTGATGTATGCGAGCGAAAGTAAGGACATGAAGGCCCCTTTAGCTACGTGAGTAGCTATATTGCAATGCTTTGGTAGATAATATAGTGTTGAAAGTGAGGGAACAACAATCAAAACCTTAAAAGGAAAACTTCAGGTAAAATGCTTGGTTGGTTGACATGATGCCATGCGTAATGCCTTTCAGCGCGACACCCGGGACCGTGTTTCTGGTGGAGTTTATCAAAGCTGTCTTTAGCGAACCGGGCACTGCTCTTAAGCATTGTACCCGAGTCCTGTATATGAACAGGTACAACGGTCCTATTTTTCAGCCTTAAATGATTTATGAGTGACTTTGTGACCTTGACCACAGTCACCAAGACTCACAATTCTGACTTTTGGACTTAAAGGATGCAAATCTGATAAGACTTTTCTGTGGTTCTGAAATTTTTTATTCTTATGTGCTCATATTGGATAATTTTCTGTGGTGATTCTGGGTGGTCCATTGGTCTCTTATATGTGGCTTTGGATATTTCGTGCTGTTCCATGAAACCGGGGCATAGTTTAAGCTCACATGACACCTGTTTAAACATGCGAGTGTGCTGTCCAAAGCAAGGGTCCACCCATTACTCCATCAGTTAAAATGTGATTTTTTCCAATTTGGTAAGTACTTACCATTTGCAATTTGAGTAATTTTACCAGGTAACATATGCACTTTGACATTATACATGTCAAATTTTTTTCCAAAACATGTTGATATCAAAGAGAACCCTCGTGAGCTGTTTCTACTTGTGTCAGTATTGAGGAATTTGGATGTTAATTCCTCTTAATCAGTGGTAGCTGTTAAAGAGATCATTAAGTTTTCATTTCAGAGATATTTGTGCCTCCTTAGACTCACACAGTGGCCCTTGATTAGTTTGATTTAATGGATTTGTAACTTGTGATGATTTGCCTGTTTATATTTTAATATTATTTTCTGAGAAAGGAATGAGTTGAATTAATAATGTAAGTTGGCCTGATCTACAAAAGAGAACCAAATGTACAAATGTGCTAGAAATACACATTTACATAAAATTTTTATTGTGTTGGTTAAATATTTTCATTAAAGAAGATTCCAATGAATCTATCTTGTTTAATTAGTTTAAATGGCATTTTTCTGGAAAGGGATGAATTTGAAGTGATGGAATTTTAAGTAATTATTTGTTTTTTAAATTGAGCATCCTCAAAGGCCAGAGAAAGGGCTTTTTCTTCTGGTCCTTTCATTTATTTTAACCCAATTAAGTATGGTTTTGCCCGTGGTTCCTGTATTTAAATTCAGATTCTGAGACATACACCCTAACTTTGGTGAACACAGGAGAAAACCACATTTTTCTTTTGTACAGAGTAATGCTCTCCTGAGAGGGGGCAGTAAATCCCGGTGACCAGGTGCTGTTTCTAATTTGCACATCGATGAGTAATGTGTGGAGATTCATCGAGAAGCGAAGCGTTGCAAGAGCTAAATGCTTCTATCACCTAATTTTCTTCTCACCTGATGGGAGGGAGTATGCTGACTTATGTTGTGCTAAAGTTGCAGTTCTCCAAATATTGATAAAATTACAATGGGAAATGACATTCTGATTTTTCTTTGGAGACTGCATAGTAAGCTTTCGGAAGGAGTGTGCGTTGGATGAACACATACTGACTTTTTAAAAATAGAAGCTCTGTAAGAAAAGTGTTTTGTTCAACGTTTCTCTCCCTCTTCCTCTAGATTAGCTCTGCTCTGGTATCACACTGTAGTCCGCCCGTTTTTTGCCTTGGATGGCAGTGATAACAAAGCAGGCCTGGATGAAGCGAAGGAAATTCTTCTCAAAAAAGAAGCTGCTTATCCAAATTCTTCCCTCTTTATGTTTTTCAAGGGACGCATACAACGATTAGAGGTACTGTGCCTTCCCTGTTTTTTTAAAAAATAAAGCCTCTGTTGATCACACCTGTAATTCTCACTTGGGAACTAGTGTCACAGTGAGCCCACGGGTTGAGGAACGGTTTGTTCTTGTGCCTTTCATTGTGTCATCTCTGCAAAAGACTTCTGGGAACCTGGGACACTAGTCAGTTGCCTTCTGTTCAGGAGACGTGGGCGAAGCAGGGCTGAGATTCGTGTCAGCAAAGAGACGAGATTGGTGTGCTCTGCGCTGAAGGCCGGGGAGCGTTAGTAGGTCTCTTGGTCAAAGAACAAAAATGCAATTTTTTCTCTTTTGGAGTTACTAATAATCTTCTAAATTTTCATTTTGGCTAACAGTTGATCTATACACAAGTTATCGCCTTAAATGTCAAGGGCAGCACCAGCTTTGTAATTGCAGTGGCTTTTTATTTTTCTTTTTGGTGTGCTTCCTGTGGCCAGGTCCTGTGCCCGGACTGTCGTACGTGCCATTCCTGTACTGCTCATAACAACCGTGTGGTGTAGATAGGAAATTGTCATGACCATGTCATAGACAAGAAGATAGGGATCCCGGAGGGCTTCGTGTGACTTCCCAGGCTCACCCACAAGTGAGGCCAGGCTCGTTCCAGATGCAGAACATGCCTGACCTTGTCGGGGCAGCTTGCTCTGCCTGTCCTTTGCACCTCTTTTTTGTCTGCTTGCTTGAGGACATGAGGATTTGAACAAAAATGAAAGTGTTCGTAAGAAATACTGAATTTTTTGGACTGTAAGATGCACCGGATCATGAGACGCACCTAGGTTTTAGAGGAGGAAAATAGGGGAAAAAATTTGAAGCAAAAAATGTGGTAAAATATTTAATAACATAAATAACATAGGCTGCCCGCCCCCCCCCCACACCCCCGCCACAGCGAGCCAGGTAAGCTACATTCGGACTATAAGACACACCTCATTTTCCTCCCAAATTTGGGGAAAATGTGCGTCTTATAGTCTGAAAACCATGGTAAATCAGACATGTGAAAGAAGGTGGCTGTGTGCTCAGCAAAGCATCCGTATTCTCACCAGCACTTGTAATGAGTCAGTGAGGTCTGCACGGCCTCTGTCCTCCAGGTAACCAGGCACTCTGCAGAAGTCAGCCCCCCGCAGACTCCACGAGTGCTTCTGAGGGTTTTTGCGTAGGAATGCTTTCATGGCACAGGGATGTTCTGTTCACTGTGTGTGTGTGTGTGTATGTGTGTTGGCGATAGAGTGTATGTTATTTCCCCAATAATTTTTTTCCTTCATAAATTACCTCCTTAAATCTGGGGACTCCTCACTTGCATATATGGGAGTTGTGTTTTAGGAATTAGACTAATAATTTATCATTGAAACAGCACAGAAAGCTCACCAGGATGTGAATTATTTAAACCCATGTCCAGGTTATTTTTCTTCTTGTTATCTGGAAACTGGTTTTCTTTGCATTTAGGCTCATGAGCCTTCAGTTACATAGCTCCCCTTTTTTTCTCTTGCTGTTGTTGCCAGACTAAAGAGGCCCATTTGCCTGCGTGCATCAAAGCCCAATAGATAAGAACAAGAGCTTGGCACAAAGAAAGTAAGGGTTAATTTTTAGGAAGCGGTCAATGCCCACAGTCACAGGTGAGCTAATGCTCAAAGACCTGGCTTCCCAGTGAGTTCCAGGGAGTGGGTTACATAGGGGAAAAATTATTTTACTTTTTAAATTTTGTTTATTGATTTTAGAAACAGAGAGAGAGGAAGAGGGGGAGAGAGAGAGAGAGAAACATCAATTTGCTGTTCCACTTTAGTTGTACATTCATTGGTTGCCTCTTATATGTGCTCTGACTGAGGATCAGACCCTCAACCTTGGTATAGTGGGAAAATGCTCTAACCAACTGAGCTACCTGGTCAGGGCTTGGAAGAGTTATTAATCACGGTGACTAAGGGAGTTAGGGTTCTGTCGGTGTCATGGTCTCTACTGATTGATTGGTGTTCGGGTAGGAGTGGTTGATCAATACATCTGGTCCTTATGTCAGCCATGAGGTTGCTTCATCTGGTTTCCCCACTTTTCAGCCTGGAGCTAAAACACAACTGAGACCTAAATATTATGTCTGGTTTAACTGAGACTCTGTCTTTGTGGTCAACAGACCCACAGCTTTTTCCTACGATTATTTGATGCTGAGCAAAATAGAAACAGACTCACAGACAAAGAGAAGAGACTGACAGCTGTCAGAGAGAGGGGGTCGGGGAACTAGGTGAAAAAGGGATTAAGCTAAAAAAAAAAAAAGACCCCTCATGGATAGACAATAGCATGGTGACTACCAGAGGGAATTAAGGACAGGGCGAGGTAGAAGAGGGTAAAGGGGCGATAAAGGATGATGGAAGGAGACTTGACTTAAAGTGGTAAACATGATACATATACAGATGATGTTTATTGAATTGTACACCTAAAACCTATGTAATTTTATTAACTAATATCACCCAAATAAATCAATAAAAATCAAATTTAAAAAAAAATTATGTGATGCTGACCAGAACCTCACTGTCCTGAGGGCTTGATGCTTCGGGGAGTGGGCGTGAAAGGGAGGAAGGAGGCAGGTGAGTCAGGGGGCTGGATGAGGCCAAACTGAATCAAAAGGAAAGAAAGGAGAACGGCCATATTAAAGAAATGAAATTTCTGTGCAGTTACACTACCTTAAAAACATAATTTTCGTCGGTCTTTTGAGCAGTCCTGTTTGTATGTTAGGATTCTTTTTTTCCAAGGTTGAGGTTAAGGTCTTACATGTAGGAAAGGGTGTTTAGGCTGTTAAAGTTTCTGTCCTCCCTTGGGTTTGTGCAGGAGGAAATAACCCTGTAAAAGGAAATTTTAAACTGACGAAGCCATCTCACTTCAATGGTCATTTCTGAAATGCAAGTTGGGTACAGGGCGAGTGCTTTCCTAGACGTAAATTTCTTAAAGAGTAAGCGTTGTAATTGTGAATAACTCCCGACACAGTGCCTGGTTCAGTGTTCCGCAGAGGTGCTGATGGGGGGGAGCCCGAAGCTCCCAGTGGTGTGCACCATGACAGGGCCGTGTGCTCGGCCTTCAGTAGGACCCCCTTAGTGCCGCTGATGGATGAGTGCTCGGACTTGGGTTTTGAAGCCGGTAAATAGAAATGTAAAAGTCAGGATTTATATATTTTGTTGTGTTGCCATTTTGGTTAATTTTTTTTATTTTAAAAAATGTGTAGTGTCGCAGGTTCGATTCCTAGTCAGGGTACATGGCTGGGTTGCAGGCCATGACCCCCAGCAACCGCACATTGATGTTTCTCTCTCTCTCTCTCTCTCTCTCTATCTCTATCTCTCTCTCTATCTCCCTCCCTTCCCTCTCTAAAAATAAATAAATAAAATCTTTAAAAAATGCGTAACGTTTAGCTAAACTAAATAAACTTTTTGCCCCCAAACTTAATTTGGTGCAGTTTTTGTTTGTGCCACCACTGATTCCTGTTAGGGACTGAGCGCACTCGGGAAGCCAGGGGTTCCCCATTACTGCCGGGAGGGGTCTAGCAGTGAGGGAGCCGCAGTGCCGAGTACGAGTCTTGGAAATACGGTTGGGAGGTACACAGCCAACAGTACAGCTCTTTCCAGGCATTCGGGCTCTTTTAGGGGAAGTAATTGTGGTCTGAGTGTTGGAACTTTTTCACTGTGAGCCGCTTGCTTACCCAGCCGATACTTTGGTTTAAAAAAAAAAAAAAGACAAAAAGATCTATTACGGCTTGTTTAGTAAACTGTAGCCTGAGGATTAAGAGAAATGTGAGGAGAGTTTCTGTTTGGTCCTTCCCCAAGGCCCAGAGGATGAAAGGATTTGAGGGCTAGCCTGAAATCTCACTGATACTGCCCTGCAGGCGCCCAGACACCAGCATTCTGTGAATGTTTCCAGGTAACCCTGCGGGAAGCTGTCAGATAGTGGCGTCCTTCATTCCTGATGAGGACCTTGGCTCCGAAAGGCTGTGCTATGGCTCTTGTCAAAGGCTTTGTAGGGCCTGTAAGGTCCCTGCTCAGCTTATGAGCACACACACGGCTCAGTCGCTGAATTCGCTTGCAAAGAATCTTTATCTTTTCAGTGAGCATTTAGGTTAGAGATGAGGCCCCTTGAGATCTTTCTATCTGCAAACATGGAACGTGGCTTGAGGGCTTGAATTTAGACAGGTGCGTCATATGACACTGACTTAGTTTCTTCGGGGACTGAGAATCTGTGAAACTATTTGAACAGCTGCTTTTGTGTAAGCTGGCGGTCACACAGGGTGGCATGCTCAGTATGTGCTAGTCAGTTTAGATTTTCCTGTACTCATTGTTTTCAAATTATGTGTACTTTCTCTTCTGATACAATGAACAACTTTTTACATTCTTTGGGGCAGTTGGTAGTTCATATGGGAAGCTGGTATTTAATGTGTCCACCAGTCCTGCTGCTCTTACAGTCCTTAGTGTGGCGGCTTCATTATTTTCTGTTGTTGCGGCCTAATCTGACATAGCAGTGAGGTCTAACACCTTTGGGGTCTCTCTGTGCCTCAGGATGGAGAGAACCTCTGCTTTCTGGGACTGCAGCAGCACACGCGTGTCAGCCAGGCTGCAGAAAGAATTCTTTCTTTTCTGCCTTTGCTTCCCTCCACTGCGTGCCTGCATGCTCTACCTGTGGTCTTCCCCATCCTCCGGTACTGTCCTTGCTACCTGTCGTACTGCCCCTCCTGTCTATTGACTTTCCCCTTGTGACTGTCGTATTGCTGTGAGGGATACACTGGTTCCTACGGTACTTAGCATGTAGTAAATGCTGTCTAAGCAGCAGCGGTGGTGGTGGTGATTATTCTTACTGAGTGCTTAAGCCTAGGAAGTAGGGTTACTGAATTTTTTCTCCTTTTCTCTTCTTAGGAGAAAGAACTTGTTTTGGTATTGAGAGCTTTCAGCAAAGCTAAACCTGTCTGTGATTAGAAAAACTGGGTATCTATGTAGCTATAGGGGCTAAGGTAGTATATA